AACTGATTTGGATTTCACCAAAGACATTTAAGAGCAGTATGGAATATAAATATCCATGCTCCTGTGTGTACATTTAAGGTATATTTCAATATAATTTCTCAAGGTCTAAAGAGCTATTTTATAGGATAACTTTCTTTAGTTCATTATCTTTTCTAAAATAATTAATGAGAAGTGATTCGCATTACACACATTATCATGTAGATAATGGTTCTGCACATGAGTCACAAATCCAGGCTCCTCCCTATTCCTATGAAAAAGGGAAAACAGACATAGCCGCCCTTTCTGATTCAACGTAATATGGATGCTGCTATGATCTGTTTGTATCCCCCCAACATTCATATGTTGTCAAATGCAATGAACTGAAGCTTCAGTGAACAACATTGGTCCCAGTTTATGTTTCTCTAAGTTAACTCACAGAAATGTATCTCAGACTATTTTATTCGTAAGTCAATTTAAAAATCCAGACTCAGTTTTATCAGTCTGATTGCTTTAAGGTGATATCAGTATCATCATTGTTTTAATCTGCACTTCATGGATTACTAGTGAGGATGGGCGTCTCCTCTCATATGTTAGCTTTCCTCTTTAGTCAACTGTCTGAAACCCTTTGTCCAGTTTCTTATTTGAATGTTCTATTTCTTACATGCTAGATATAAATTCACTCTTGGTTTTATTAGGTTGAACCACATGAAAGTGTTATGTTCAACTATTTTTGACATACAAAAAAAATGGCAGTTTCATAAGGTTCCAGCTAGATGGATGCTGCAAGACCCTTTTCCCTGTATTTTCCTATTAGTTAACAGTATTCCAGGTATCTTGAACAAAAATATTTAATATTGATGCAAAGTCCTCAATTTTTCTATGTATTCTTGTCCTTTTGGGTTATAATTTGAGAAATCCTTCCCCACCTTGAGGTCACAAAAATGGTTCCATAAATTTTCTTCAATTAAGTTTACAGGTAATTTTTTACTTTCAGGTCCATAATCTATTCAGAATTAGTGACAAAGGGACTCATCTTATTTTTCTCCATATACTGAGACCACTTACTCAGCGATTTTTATTGAACTGTTTATCCTTTCCTGCTGATTGATGAACTTCTATCACATATCTCATTTTCCTGGTAACTTGGAATGTGATACAGGGTCCTATGTCTGTGTTCTTTTCCTTCTTTTCACTGACCTTTTTATATATTTTGTCACCAGTACTATAGTTTAAAAAATTACTGTAGCTTCCTAACAAGGTTAGTATTTGACAGTCAGATTTCCTCCTTTCATCATCCTTTTTTACAAAATTGTCTTAGCTATTTTGGGGCCTTCAGTTATAATTGACATAAAACATATTAGTTTCAGGTGTACCATGTAATTATTGGATATTTGTATATATTGTGAAACAATTGCTACAATAAAGTTTAGTTAACATCCATCACCACACACAGTCACAATTTTGTGTGTGTGTGGTGAGAACTTTTAAGATCTACTTTCTTAGCAACTTTCAAATATATAATATAGCATTAACTATAGTCCTCATGCTGTACATTACATCCCCAGGACTTACGTATTTCACAACTGGAAATTTGTGCCTTTGGACCTCGTTCACCCATTCAGAATCTTTAACAGAGCCTTAAAAGTGTCTTCAAGGCTTTATGTATTTAAGTTAATTCCTAGATAGTGTGACTCATTTCATTGCTTTTGTAAATGATTTATTTCTCATTATATTTTGTAAATTGTTACTGGTGGTGTAGAGATAAGCTATTAATTTTTGAATGCTGATTTGGATCCAGCACTCTAAGAACTCTCTAATTAGTTATAAAAGTTTGTTTATTCCCTATGGTCTTCTATGCTAATGATCATATATCTCCAAAATAATCACAATTTGGTGTCTTGTAATCCTAATTCCACATTTCTTTTTCTTTTCTTGTGGTGTTGGCCTTTTTCTTTTCAGTTATATGATACAATTAATAACAGGTATCCTCTGTCTAATTCAGAACCTTCAAGGACAAGCATCTCCATTAAATATGACTTTATGTTAAATATTACATTACAGATTACATTCCCACTGGGTTTTTAGTGGACAGCCTTTGTCTAATTATAGGCTGGCCCTTTCTTGTTTGCTGAGAATTTTCATCATTAAAATGAATTATGTTGGCACCTAAATTTCACAATATGTTATTCTAAAACGCCTGAGAATACATTTTTATTTGTTTTCAGTTAAAATGAAGAAATAGATGAGACCAGTACTGCAGGAAGCTAAAGAGGAGAGATCCTTTTCCTTTTTCTATGTAGGAGGTTGGCCTGATGAAATTAAGACTGTCCAAGTAATTATGATAAATGAAGTGACTTTTGATTTAATTCTGGGAATAAAAATTAATGGAAACAAATTATTCTTCCTTAGTCTCCATAACTAGGCTTATTTGAATCATCAAAATGTGCCATTTTTGTTTATCTATCATGCTCCAATATAATAAAGTAGATAATCAACAGATGTATTAAGATTTTGGCAAAAGTTCCTTGCCTAAGCCTTTGAAGGGCCAAGATGTTCTCTGTCTTTATCTGAAGATCCCTGCCACAAATGAAGAGAGGTGAAAGTGATCTTCACATTCCAGATGGTTTTATCTAGGTTGGAAATTGGTCTCAATATCTGAGAAATTGAATTCAAGTCTAAGTGAAACAAAACGCTAATCTCCACCGAACGTAGTAAATGTAAATGTTCTGGTTCATTCCATCAATCCTGAAATGATTTGGTTAATTTGTTTTTTAATTATATTGTTTAAAGTTTACTTAGACTGAATAAGGCAACAAGGAATATGTAATTCAATCCCTTTGCATTCAGGCTTTGTACTCACCCACAGACTGCACGGTATACTTTGTGTGTCTGGCATTTGGTTAGAAAAACAAAACTCAATTTTTCTGAATAATCACAAAATAAACAGAAGAAAGCTCACACAATGCTTTCTGTTTAGCTCTATTTACAGAGGTTTTCCCTCCTGCTGTAGCAATTGAGGGCATCTGTATTCCTGTCCCCTCCACAGGGAAGCAGGAAAGAACCTGAACTCTCCTGCCCTGCCGGACATATGCCTGGCTTTGGTGTGCTGACGGAAGTGTGCTGTCCAGAGGAGCAAGCCTGAACTTAAACAAGAAAGCAGTCTGATTTTTAGAAATTGTGGTTCTAAGTTTGTGTCAAAAGATAAATTTTGAAACAAACAAACACATAATTATTTTAAAATTATGCATAATCTGCCTTTACCTATAAGCAGAAAGATATATGATAGAGGGTTTTCCTTAAAGCAGATAAAACAACTAAGTTGGCCTGGAGCATCTCCTGAGGATGGGCCCATCAATACAAATGCTGCCTCGAAAACCAACCAGAGACACGATGGCATTCAGTCTGACCAGGGTAATTTTGAAGTCAAGTAGTAGGAGGGTACTTGGCTTTGGGCCCTTGGGAATCCCACAGCAAAACACTTGCTTCAGACCCCAACAGAAGAGGGGGACTCCATCCTCCACAATTCCACTTTTCCTGCAACCTTCCCAGAATGAGAGATGGAAATAGAGTTCAGGGCTAGTGCCAGAACCTTCTTAGGCCTTTATTCTAACTTTGTCACTTGGCCAAACCCTCCCTTTCTTTGCTTCCTTGTCCATTTTTAGTGAAGCAGAGGTGGGTTGGTTTGGGGAGGTGGAGTTTGATGGAGAAGGAACATTATTTCAATTTTATCTTAGGAACTGAAATGTTCAAGCTGTTGACTCATCTAAGAGCCAATTAATTCTTTATTATGTGTTTGTAACTAATTAACAAGAGAAAAGGGGGTCTGTGGGAGAAGGATGGGGATACTGTGTACATAATGCTTGGGGAAACTTTCCCACTGATTCTTCATTTTCTTATAATTGTACCTGCATTCTTAAATCATTTTGAGGAAGCCAAATCTCTCTTTAGTGAAAACCTTTCCCAAAGTCACTCGGGTTAGAAGACTCACTTTCTGGAAGGTTATTTTAAAGCTCTTCTGAACTCAAATCGTCCAAAGAACTTCCAATGTCACATTGAAGACAAAATGCTACTTGATGGAAACCTCATAGAATCCTGACTCCTTTATTCTAACATTTTGTTGGGTCTGCTTACAGTTTTTTTTTTTTNGGATCCACTGGCGTCCCAAGCCAGCTCTTAACCAATACGCCACTCGGCCGGCCCCCATTAAGTTCTTAATTTTGATTTTTTTAATATTTCAATTTTAGAATGTCCATTCTTTTTATGGTTTTTATATCTCTACCAAATTTCTTATTCCTTTCTTTTCCATACTTGAGCACAGTAAACTTGGTTATTTCTGTTAGTGTAGTCTCATATCCTTGTGTGCCCGGCTATTTTTCATTACATGCTGAACCTTATATTAATTGTTTTCAGAAATATTCTGAGTCCTAGAATGTTATCTTCCTCAAAAGAATATTCGCTGGTTCCTACCAGGTGCCTCGGGGCACTACCAATGTAGAATCTTCTGAATCCGATTTTAGGGATTCTTCTGATGTAAGGGTGAGCTTCAGTCCTACTTCTCATTCATCTTTACTCTCAGGTAAACTCCTTTGGGGTCTCAACACAGATTGAGAAAATCCACCAGGTCCATCCTTCCTTCAGCAGGCTCTACGCTCTACTTTCTATTCCTGTAGGCTCATGAAGTTACTGAAAGTCACTCCCTTTCTTCGGTGCTGTCTCTCAAATCAGGAGGAAAAGCAGCCTCTGAAGTTAGGGTCATCTGCCTTGGCCTCCTTAGCATCCTGTCCTGGTAATTTTTCCCTATTTATGACTCCAAGCAGACTTAAAAAAAAAAAAAAAGTCCAGCTTTTGTAGTTGGCTCCAGGAGATGGGCAGGTCATAATTACACAGGTTGTCAAATCTAGATGTTTTCCAAGAAAATAAATGTCGTGGAAAGATTGTCTTCTTTTAAAGGCAAGAATTCTAGTACTTAAAGTCATTATTGTCTAGTAACAGGTAAAGCTTTATAAAAATTTCCCCCTTACCTGCTATTGCTTCAATACTTGGAATTGCAATAGTGCTGTAAGTACTGATTCTCTTACAAGACCATGTATTAACCAAGGAGTCTTCTGTGTTTTTCAGTCCCGAAATGGAATCAACAAAAAATGAGCCCCATTTTTTAGATAACGAATTTAGAGGCTTTGCTTTCTGTCCCTGGAATAAGAGAACAGAACAATGAAAACCTGTGATTAACATTCATCAGTTTTTTCCCCCCACTAATTAATTAAAAAAATAATAAAAATCTGTAGGAATTGAAGTTTACGTTAACCAAATAATATTCTATATAAAAAGTAAAACACACATATCTTGCTAGGGAGACCACATCATGGATGGGGTAGAGGCTTGATCACTGCACTGTACACCTGAAGCTGATGTTGTATAATATTGTATGTCAACTAT